ATATGTTATTAAGAAAAAAATACTGAACAAGATTTGCCCGAGCATTACATCCCAATTCCTTTCCAAATTTGAAATAAAAATAAAATACGGAAAATAAATACTAAGAAAAAAAATAAATAAAAATAAAAAGAGGATTAAATTTAGTGAGTGCGCGAGTATGTTTTCGACACCGCCATTTTTGGCGATTTTTGATTTTGTTTTGGCAAAGCTAAATGTGTACTTCACATAATACAAAACCCACTAAAAAAGTTTCAAAAAATAATAAAATTGTTTAGATCCCGAACTAAAGTGAAAACTAAAAATAAAAAGTGAAAAAATACGTGGGTGAGCACGTTTTGACACCGCCATCTTTGGCGATTTTTAATTCTCATTTGGCTTAGCCAAATGATTTGAAAATTTACGGATATGTATCTCACGTCATAGAGAACTTACAAACAAGAATTCAGAAAACACTCATTATGTTTAGGCGCCGAAATAATTTTTGGCGGGGGCCGAACGCCGTCGGGTTCGGACCCCGTACGGGACCCCGAATGCCCGTACGTACGGAGGTCTGCCCGGGAGCTCCGTACGTACCGGCTGGTGACCCTGATTATTTTATGATTATTTTTTAAAAATATATTTTATTCCAGGCTACTAGCTGGGCCGCTCGGGTCCCCGGTGGCCAGCCTGTGCAAAGACTAGAGAAGGCCCCTTCAAAAAAAAAAAACAATAAAAAAAAATCCAAAAACTCCCAAAAAAAACTATGTTATGCAGAAAACTAAACTGAACAACGTTTGCCTCAGGGTCACATCAAAATGCTTCACCAGATTTAAAATAAAAAATAAAATCTAAAGATATGTATTTTATTTTTATTATTTTAATTTTTTTTGGCCCGGCTGGGCAAGTGACCCCGGGCCACTCTGGTAGCCTAGATTTGATTTTTATTTTCGAATTTGGTATTAAGCTCTTTTATTTTATTATTTTATTACTTTATTATGATTTTAATATTTTATTATTTTATTATTATTATTTTTTTTGTTATTAATACTTATTATCTTTTTTTTTTTTTTTTT